ATAATATAAAAGTACAACTATGAGAAGGCTGGAGAGGTGGCTCAGCAGTCAAGAGCGCTGGATGTGTTTTCTTCTTCTTCTTCTTCTTCTTCTTCTTCTTCTTCTTCTTCTTCTTCTTCTTTCTTCTTTCTTTTCTTCTTTTCTTCTTCTTTTTTTCTAAGACAGAGTTTCTCTGTGTAGCCCTGGCCATCCTGGAATTCACTTTGTAGACCAGGCTAGCTCAAACTGAAAATTCAGATCTCCACCTGCCTCTGCCTCCTGAGTGCTGGGTCTTAAGAACAGCTGGGTTCAATTCCCAGCATCCATGTGGGCACTCTCACCTGTCTGCAGTTCACACCCTCTCAGGACTCGCTGGGTATCACACCCATCACAGTGCACAAACACACACATGCAGGCAAAACATCCATACGTATTTTTTAAAAGAGGAGGAGGAATGGGAGTCCCAGCACTCGGGAGGCAGAGGTGGCAGGATCTCTGTGAGTTCGAGGCCAGCCTGGTCTACATAATGAGACTCTGTCTCAAAAAACAAAACAAAAAATGAATTAATTTTAAAAAAAGAATGAATATAAATGGCCTCGTATGAGTTTAGATTAAGTAAAAAGCAGTTTAAATAACTACATGTGATGACTGGCAGCAAAGAACCACAAGCAACCACAGGCCAGAGAGGAAGATTATCCCTCCTAGACAGGGGAGAGCAGTGGGAAACTGCAGTAATGGTGAAATGCTGGGGAAATATTTTTACAGTTCAGGTGTACTAACCTGCACCTTTGATCCCAGTGTTTGGGAGGCAGAGGCAGGAGGATTTCTGTGAGTTAGAGGACAGCCTGGTCTATACAGTGAGGTACAGAACAGCCACGATTACATAGAGACACCCTGTCTCAAAATAAGTAAGTGAATACATGAAATAAAATAAGTCTTTGGGAGCCAGATGTGGTGGCACACGCCTATTACCCCAGCACCTGGGAGGCAAAACAGTAAGACCACAAGTTCAAAGCCAATCTAGTACCACAGTTCTCGGCCAGCCTAGACTCTCTCTCTCTCCAAAAAAATAAGAACGAAAAGCAAAATAAATAAAATCTACAAAGCTGAGTGATGGTGATAAAGCAGAACAGCAGAGCGCGTACCTAGCATGTGTAAGACCTGATTCGATCCTCAACACTCCAGTAAAAAAAGCACATTCGTTTTTAAAATATGAAATTAGGGCTCAGTGTAAGAGCTCCAGCCGACAAGCTAACAACCTTAGTTAAACATCCAGGATCTGTATGGTGGGAGAGAAAACTGATTCCCACAAGTCTTCTGACTTCTGTTCATGCACCATGGCACGCACACGCGCACACACACAAATATATATAAGCACACACAGGCATGCAACATGCACACACAAAATATACAAACACATACATACACACAGATACCTGCAAGCTCATGTGCACACGAAATAAATACATAAAAATGTAATTTAAAAAAAAATTGAATAAAAGTCCATAAGACTGAGAGTAGAAATCAGTGGTAGAATGCTGGCTTAGTATGAAGTAATATAAATAAACAAAAATAACACTCTATAGTCCAGGTTTGAAAAATTCTACCATCGGGGATTTCACCTGTAGCCCCGGGTAATGTGTGTAGGTGGTCTACACTTTCTTGAGTAAGTGCCACATCTGGGAAGGGACCCAGGGTCCGAATACAGTGAACAGAAGGCTGGCTGGCGTTCTGCTGGGAAAGCCGACCTGCCTACTTCTGAGGCTGAATTACAATGTGCCCAGCATGTCCCCTCCTTCCTGGCTCTCCTGTCGCTCTCAGGTGCCTTCCATCCTTCCATCCTTCCACCTTCGAGGTGGACGGTGCCACTGTCAGGGCCTCAGAGATGGGGAGTGAAACACAGAGACAGCGGGGAGCAATGCTGGTCATGCCCAGAGCAGTGTTGAGACAAGACAAGGGAGGCTCCCTTCCGCCCAGCGTTGTTTTCTCTTACATGCCTTTCCCGCTGCCAGTCTCCGGGCTGCTCTCAGACACGGAAAGACTTGCTCACCCTCCAACCTGCAGCACAGGCGCTGGCCAGGCACCCTTCCTCCCTCGAGGGGTGCTCTGCAGCGGTCAGATCCCAGCCCCCGCTGCTGACCACACAGCCTGGACTTCCAGCCGGGGCTGCTTCTGGCAAGGCCAGGCTCACAGCTTCCTCTTTTCTTAGAACGCAGCCCCTGCACCCGGCTCTGTCACAGCCTCATGTGGCATTTGTTGACATTTTTAAGAGATGCCCTCTGGCCAGCTCGGAGGTCCTTGACAGCTGGCACAGCATCCTGCTCACCTCTGTACCCTCTGCACACACAGGCACCACCAACCGAGAACCCTCAGGACACTCAACTGCAGCATGAACACCAAATGCAGCATTACCATAGAGGAAAGAACTATTGTGCAGTCACAGCACAGATATTTAAATGGTTCCCATGCCATAATTACGTCACAGCTTGAGATAAAGGTACTCACTCGAGGTGAAGCTTTAAACAAAACACTGAACTTTTCTGAGTCCAAGTTTCCCTTCTGTTTAACCAAAAGGGGAGGGGAATCAGGTACACCTGCTTCACCTCATCAAGATGTTTGGTGCTGCTCGAACAACAGCTCATGCGAAAAGCTTTACACAGATGAACGGACAGACTTACACACGAAGCCCCACTCCGCCACAGGCAAAGTCCAACAGCTTCCTGTCAGATATGGTGGCACAGGTAGTCTTGAGAAAATCCAAAGAGGGACGGTATCAAGAAACCTGTCCAAGCCAGCTATCAAGAAACACCCGAGTGGACTCAGTCTGCACGCGGTGCTCCTGACAGCTGCAGGCCGGCGCTGCAGGCCAGCTTGACAGGACCCCAGCGGCCAGTGGCCTCGGCAGCAGACCCACACAAGGCTCTGCAGCTCTGCGGTAAACAGCCCGAAGGAGGCACTGGTCTGCACTCAGCAGAGCAGCCTGGCTCTGACCAAAGGCTGCAGCGGAACACACACAAAGAAATTCTCCAACAGTGCTTCACTCATACTGGCCCTGTCTTTACGACAGCCTGAACCTGGGAAAATCAGCAATGGAAAGACTGAATGCGCCAACATCATCGAGTTGTGACAAACACAGAGGCTTTGGGGGGGGGGGTTGACAGAACAGTAATTATAGAGAAAATAATAAAATAAAAAAAAAAAGGCAGTGGGTGGGGGAGGGTGATTCCAAACCTGCTTCAGATGTCATAACCACCACCACAGAGCTGGGGACCCCTGGCTTATTTTAACTTCACTGAACTCTGAATAGCATCTTCCTCCATCTCCAACCAACCATCTGTGTGCTTGAAGCAAGACAGACAGACAGATGGCCAACACGCTGACATGGCAGGTTTCTCAACTGCTATTTCCTTCCAGAGCGCCATGGGGTAAAGCGCAGGGCGACGCACTGCTAACCCTTACGAAATAAATTTAAACTAAGCCATCTGCCAATCAAAGCATCCTGTCTGGGCAAAGAAACATTCCCTCGTCCTCAAAACGGTCAAGCTCCGGCATTCCCGGTCTCAGGGAGGAAGGCCAGCTAATCAGCAGCGATCCTAGAAGCAGTTCCTCGGAACAGCTCTTTCTAAAGATGTCTGCAGACACCCAGAGCTGTAAACAATAATCATGTGCGCACATTCACACCAAGAGGGGCTCCCCGGGTTCCCCTTTCCCGGGAAAGCAAGCAAATCCTATTTTAATCTCCCCCTCATATGACATCCCAGCCAAACCTCCCTTTCTGGCTAATGAAAGCCAAAGCTGATTTGTTACTTAAAAAAAAAAAACAACTTTTAAAAGATTTGAATGGAATTCATCACACTTGATGCCAACACCTTCACGAAAGGATGACGAGGAAAAAAGAAAACCTTAAGGGAAACATATTTTAACAAACTACTTCAAATGATTTTTTTTTTTTAACCTGGTAACTATTTTATTTAAAGGTATCACCGGGCAAGAAGCCCAAAGGATTCCTATCTTCCTAAACACTTCCCAACTGATTAATTGAAAAATAATATGTTGATAATTACGTGCAAGTGAAAACAGCACCGCCCTATACATTGGGAAAGCCTTAAAGGGTTATTAAAATTAATTATTTCCTTCACTCGTTTAAGATCTAGAACACTCAAATTCACTCCAGCTTTTTCACTGTAAGTGATTTTTCAAAGGGGAAAAAGCCCACAATGTCATGATAAGTTAAAGTCGGAACTAGGACTCTCCTGGGAACCTGGTCACATAACCTACTCTTCTCCAATCCACAGTTTTTAATGCACTTGATAAACGCTGGCCAGGGCCTTCGGGAAGGAATTCAACAACACACAACTCGGGAGACATCAGCGTACTGACAGCCAGCGCGGAGAAAATGCTGCTTTTGTTCGGAGGCCGCCTGAGATAAAAACAGGAACTTTACAGAGAGCGGCTCGCCACAGCGCACTCGCCTGATCACATGCCACAGCCCGCATTGAGCCTCTCATTGTTGTCCAGGGGACTTCTCTGGTCCCAGCGCCCAGACCGAGCCCACGTCTGAAAGCACCTAAACAAGCCCAACCCTCCCTGTCCCGACCCATTGTCAGGAGGAAGGGGGTGCCGGCCAGGATCTGCATCCTCAGAGACTCCAAGGGTGACCAGATGCGGAAAACCCGGCCCCGAGCACAGGTGCCAAGAAAGAGCCCTGCTGGGCCCCATGACAGAGGTGGCCCGAGCGGCAGGGCGGGGGTCCCCCGGGCGAGCGCCTCGGCCCGCGACCCCGCTCGGACCCTGCTCGGCTGCTTTCTCACGCCTGTCACCGCGCATTGTTAGAGGCGCAGGAGGAAACGCGGCCGCGGCGCTTCCCCGCGCCCCGGGCAGGAGAGAGCGCGCAGGCGTGCGGCCCTTCCGGAGGGGACGGTGCCAGGCGCAGGGCGCAGCTCGGTCCCCGCCGGCACCCGCGCCCCCGGGGCGGCCCCGCGAGCCCCGCCGGCCGACCTCCCCGCCGCCCGCTCGCCTACCCTCCGACAGCTCCAGCTCCAGCTCCGCCAGCTGCGCCCGCACCTCGGGGGGCAGCGCGGCCACCGCGGCCGCCGCCGGCTCCGGGCCTCGCTCCGCCATCGCGGCCCCGCGGCCACACTCCGGAAGACGCGAGGGGGCCCGGAGGAGGGACGGGACTGACGCGGGCCCACGCCCCGGCTACAGGATCCGGCTCCAGCCGCCGAGAGCCGCCGGCGCCGTCCCCGCCGCCGCCGCCGCCGCCATGAGCCGGGGTCACGTGAGCGCGCGGCCCCGCCCCCCGCCCGCAGGACGCCCCGCCCCGGAGGCGCAGCACGGGCGTGGCCGCGGCGCCCTCTGCCGCCCGGCGTCGGGAGCGCAGGCTCCGCGGGGGACCGGCGGAGCCGCCGCACCTGCTGCGCACAGCGCCCACCTTCTTCCAGGCCCTCCGCGCGGGGCCGCGCGCGCTGTCCTGGCCTTGACCCACCCGCTGGATTCCGCCTGGCGACATCGCTTTTTTCTTTCTTTCTTTCTTTCCTTCCTTTTTTCACTTACAACTTTTAAGACAGAAGAAAGCAGCCGGGCAGGTGGGGCTCGCCTTTAGTCCCAGCACTCGGGAGGCAGAAGCAGGTGGAGCTCTTGAGTTTGAGGCCAGCCTGGTCCACAAAGCGAGACCAGGACAGCCAGGGCTACACGGAGAAACCCTGTCTCGAAAAACCAAAAGCCAAAAAAGAAAAAAGAAAGATAAGACATTTCTCTACGCAGTCTTGGCTCCACTCCACTCTGCCGGTTCCTGAGTGCTGGGATCCAAGGCGTGCCCACCTACACTGGGGCTGGGAGGTTAGTTTCTGCTTTATTTTTTTAGCCTCCTTTTCATGTAACCTGATCTGTAGTCCAAAAGTACTAATTTTCAGTTAGTATGAGGAGGACCCAAACATTGCTGTATTCTTACCAAGGACTATTAGGATCTTTGCTTTACATTGTCACTTAAGTCTTTTGTTGATGGTACTGAAATCTTGCCACATGGACACAACTGATTTGTGATTTGTTTTTCCTATAGTCTGAGGGGGTCCTAGTGTTTCCCTTTCTTTCCGTGTTGCTCCAAAATGGAAACTGGGGATGTAGCTGAACTGGTGGACCTTCTGCCTGGCATGCAGGAATGCCTGGGATCAATCCCAACACTACATAAACTGGCAATGCTGGCTCATGCCTGTAATCCCAGCACTCAGGAGATAGGTTCAAAGTCAATCTGGTCTATGTCGTGAGTTCCAGGGCAGCCAAGATTGCACAGGAAGATATTATCTCAAAACCACCATAAAGGAAAGAAGGAAAGAGGGAGGGACAAGTATGAGCTCATGACTGGTTAGAGGTGGACTTTGAGATTTCCTTTTACCTGAAATAACATGGGCTACAATTGTAATCCATGGCAGAGTTGTTGCCTAGATAGCACAGCTGAGGCCCCAAAGATTCACCAGTTTGCTCTGTTGTCCCTATTGTTATTTATTTAATGTGTGTGTATGAGAGAGAATATGCTCATGTAGAACCAAAACAACGTGTGGGAGCAGCTTTCTCCTGCCATGTGAGTCAGGCACGAGTCTCTGGAAACACGCCCTTAGTCCAGAGTCACCTCAGCTTAGTTTAAAGCTGCTAATTTATTGACACCTTCCACCAGGAAATGAGAGTCGGGCCAATCAGATGGCTCAGTGGGTGAAGGAAGGCGTTTGCTCTCGACCCTGATGACCCAAGTTCAACCCCTGAATCTACTCCATGGAAAGAGGACACCAACTCCCACAAATTAACTTCTGACCTGCACATACACACATTAAATGTGTAAGAAAAAAATAAGAAATGGGGTGGAAGTCTGGTGCTGGGTGCTGTGGCACATGCCTGTAATCCCAGTGCTCAAAGAGGCAGAGAGTCAGGAAGAAGCAGGAGGAGGGAAGGAAGAAAGGAAGAGAGAGAGAAGGTGGGGGCGGGGGAGATGGCTCAGTGGTTAAGAGCACTGTTTGTTCTTCCAGAGGACCGGGGTGTAGTTCCTAGCACCCACATGGCAGCTCACAACTCCCTTTAACTCTAAGAGATCCGGTTCCCTCTGAGGACCCTGAGAGGGAATGAATGCCAGAGCCCAGAGAGTGTTGAGAGAGACGCAGAGAAAGAAGGCTGCTGGTGTCCACCCCTGCTGCTCCTGGTTGCTGTTGATGTGGTTGGGATGAGAAGTTTGAGATATCCTGAAGTGAAAATTGGACTTGCCCTAAGGAACCCAACCATCCTCAGCAGCAGGAAGTAGCTAAAGAGAACTCCACCCCCTCACCCCACTAACCTCTTTTCTCTCCTACATGGTATTGGGGTGTTGGGCAGGATTGGTGTGGAGTAGGGAGAAAGAGGCATAAGAAATGTAAATAAGATAGTTTTTTAAGGGGCACTGCAGCCCTCTTCTGGCCTCTAAGGAACCAGACATGCACCTGGCCCACATATATGCAGGCAAAACGCTCATACACATAAAAATGAATATATAAATATTTAAAAGAAGTGAGGAAGTGATCTGGAGATATGGCTCAGAGGTTAAGAGCACTGGCTGCTCTTCCGGAGGTCCTGAGTTCAATTCCCAGCAACCACACGATGGCTTACAACCTCTTCTGGCCTGCAAGTGTACTGCAGACAGAACATTGTATAAAAAAATCTAGAAGAAGAAGGGAGGAGGTAAAGAGATTGGTTACCAGTGCTTGCTGCTCTTCCAGAAGATGAGAGTTTAGATCCTAGGACCCGCATCAGGCAGCCCACAACATCTGTAACCCCCAACTCTAAGGACTCTCCAGTGCTTTCCTCTTCCTCCAAGGCCATCCATAAGTGGCATGTACACACAGACACATAGACCTATAAAATAAAGAAAAATCTTCTAAAAGAAAAGAAACAAGATGGAAGAACAGAATAGTGATGATCTTTTGAACACAGAAGGCTGAGGTATGAAGATCACAGTGAGCTTGTGGCAAATCTCTCTATTTTTTTCTGGAGCAATCTGTAACCCCCAGCATGGCAGACTTCTTTGTGTTTCCTTAAACATTAAAGTATATTCATCAGAATCAGCCAACAAATTATTGTCCATGTAATGATAAATGATAGATTAAGAAAATTGCCTAAGAATTATTCCCAGCAGTTGTCACACAAAATATTGACAGAAAGTTGGACTATTTAACATTCCCTGTGGAAGCACCTTCCAATGGGATTTCTTTATTGAACCACTATTATTACAGTAGGTGCTGAGAAAGCAAACCTTTCCCTATCCTGCTCATTCAAGGGAATTGTGAAAAAGCAAGCCTTTAAATAAATTACTATTATTGGCCATGGCCCAGGTAACAAAGAAGGTGAAGGAATTACAGGCTTTAAAGGACCCACTTGTTGAATGACTCTGTTCGTTGCTCTTAAATCCATCATCCTCCTCCATTTTCCTGGTTTCTTTTTTGAAACAAATACAGGGAAAGTCCGTGGGCCAGTAGGCTCTTCTGTATGTTGAGGCTCCAGCTGATCTTGTACCAGTTGTTCAAGTGCCTGCAAATTTGCTTTTGTTATGTGGCACTGCTCTTCCCACACAGGTCTTTCTGATATCCATTTCAGGGGCAAGGCTGTTGTTATTTCAGCAGTGGCCCCTCTTAGAAATTTGGAAACTCAGTCCCTATTATGTCCTGTGTTTGGACAATGGGTACAGCTTGTGATTGTTTTTGATGACACATATCAATACCTTCTCTGAGAATGTTTACCAATTCACCCATTATTTCACTGGCTGTCTCTGGGATTGCAGGAATATTAATTTGAGTGCCCCATTGTTGTAGAAGATCCCTTCCCCATAAATTCATGGATATGTCAGCCACATGGGGTCTCAACTTCCCTGTTTGTCCTACTGATCCCACACATTTAATCCATCACACATTTTGTCTTATTTGAGATAATCTACTAAGTCCTATAAACTGTATAAACCTTCTCAAGTGACCATTCTGGATTCCAAGACTTTTGGGAAAGGATACTGACATCAGCTCCTATATCTACCAAACCTATTTCAACACCTTTCATTTGTAATATTAATCTGGGTCTGTGATTGTTAACCACCGTTTGCCAGAACACTTTTTTTTTTTTTTCCAGTACCTTGAAAGGCACCTGTTCTTTCTACTGGAGCAGGTTTGCCCTTGATGTAAGGAAACAGTAACAGATGAGCAACTCTATCCCCTGCATTCATTTGCATCTCCATTCTGCCATGATTTTAATTTCTTCCTCACCTACAGTACCTGGGCGCACAATACATCCTTGAGAAGTTAGTCCACTTCTTCCCAAGATCATCCCTCTGTCCCTGAAGGCAAAGGACCATAAACACTAGTGGTTATTTTGTAACATTCGCTCTTGGAGATGGGGTAAGGGGCATGTCTGTGGTCAGAACCAGAGCCGCCTTGCTTTCAGTAGTGTGCATGAGATCAGCAATACTTAGTTGCAATCTTCCTGCCTGCTCCTTACCTTCTGGCTGCTGCCCATGGTTTTTGCTCTGGCCTCCAGCTGACAGGCTCCTCAGTTTGTTTCCTAATGGCAAGCGGTTACCACCTACGCCCCTCTTGGATCCTCAGTCCATAGTCAAAAAACCCCTTTTACCACAATGTCTGCAAATTCCAGGAAACCTGGGCATTCCATTGCTGCCTAGACTGCTTATTCCAGTCCGCTGGCCAAAGTACCATAATCCTCAGAGTTAACGCACCTGCCATTTTGAACTCTGAAGCTTTTTAACCTTACAATTTCTTTGTAAATAGCCAAATTCACCACAATTAAAGCACCAGGTATCTTGATATCTGAGACCTCTAGTACAGCTTGTCCTGTGGTGTTGGTCTGATGCTCACGAGAGCCAGTACCAGTTGTCTCTGTCCCATTCATCTATTGGTGCTGCTCATGCCTTTAGTGGTCTAATTAGTCTCTAACATTTAGTATTTGCATTCTCAAACTCCAACATCTCTATCAACACCTGCCTGGCATCAGGTTCTGATCCAGCTGTTCACAGCTGAAGCCAGTCTCTGTGAGAAGTCCGTGAAGGTTTCTCTGGGGCCGTGTATTATCTTAGTTGATAGGTGGATCTCGTAAAGCTCCCAGCCGACATTGTCCTATCACATCATCGCCTGAATTTGTTCTTGTAGGTGGCATAGGTCGCCCTTCACCGAGCAACTGATCTTTAACAACGTTTATATTGCTATATGTCATTGTTCTGTTTTCACAG